AGGGAAGGAGTTGAAACAGTTTATGTCCGGGATGTGAGGGGTCTGTAAATATTTTCACAGCCCTCTTTTTGACTGCTGCAGTATACAGGTCCTAAGTTGAGGGCAGGTTGGTAGTAATTGTTTTTTCTGCAGTCCTAATTATCCTCTGAAGTCTTTGTCTGTCCTGTTGGGTTGCAGAACCAAACCAGACAGTTATAGAGGTACAGATGACAGACTCAATAGTTCCCCTGTAGAACTGGATCAGCAGCTCCTTGGACAGTTTGAGCTTTCTGAGTTGGTGCAGAAAGAACATTCTTTGTTGTGCTTTTTTGATGACGTTTTTGATGTTAGGTGTCCATTTTAGGTCATGTGATATAGTAGAACCTAGAAATTTGAAGGTCTCTACTGTTGATACTGTGTTGTCTAGTATTGTAAGAGGTGGTAAGACTCCTGCAGTATACAGGCAGGTTGGTAGTAATTGTTTTTTTCTGTTTCTATACCGCTTCACAGTGCTCCACAGCCCTCTCTAAGCGGTTTACAAAGTCGGCCTGTTGCCCCCAACAATCTGGGTCCTCATTTTACCCACCTCGGAAGGATGGAAGGCTGTGAGTCTACCTTGAGCCTAGTGAGATTCAAACTGTCAAACTGCTGGCAGCCGGCAGTCGGCCGACGTAGCCTGCAGTACTGCACTCTAACCACTGCGCCACCTCGGCTCTTATGGAGCCCAAATTTCTGGTGTTCAGTGAGAGACATTTGTTAAGCGAGTTGGCGGGTTTCCAAGTGGTGAAAACCCATTCCAAAAGAAATAAGCAAAACCCAATATCTCAGGGGTTGCCCCAAAGAAGAGGGAGTCAAGCTATTCTCCAAAGCCCCTGAAGGCATGACAAGAAGCAGTGGGTGGAAAGGAAACTAATCAAGGGGACAGGCAACCTGCAACTTAGAAATTTCCTGACAGAACAATTATTCTATTCAATTATTCTGTTATTCTATTCTGTTCTAAATTAACCAGTGGAACAACTTGCCTCCAGAAGTTGTAAATGCTCCAACACTGGAAGTTTTTAAGAAGAGATTGGATAACCATTTGTCTGAAACAGTATACAGAATTTCCTGCCTAAGTAGTGGGTTGGACTAGAACAGGGGTCGCCAACCTTTTGGACTTCAGGGACCACCAAACTCCTAATTTTAAATCCCACGGACTAGAAACCCTGGGAAAATCCCCCCAAAAAAGTCTGCACAAAAATTCCTCACTCCGTTTTCCTACCGATCAATCATTCTTTATTTTGGATTGCAGGATACTGTCTCCAGCTCGATTCTCGGGGTGGGGGAGAGAGAGAGAGAGAGAGAGAGAGAGAGAGACTTTTGGCTTCATGCAAGGAAAGCAGCAGAAGTCTTTCTTTCTCTCCCCCAAACTCTGCCAGAAATGAGTCTTTGTGAGACTTGTCACGCCAGTGCAGCCTCTTGGAGCGGGATGCCTTGCAGGGTCCCAAAGACTCATTTTTGGCAGAGTTTGGGGGAGAGAAAGAAAGACTTTTGCTGCTTTCCTTGCACGTAGCCAAAAGCAGAAGAAAGAAGCATCCCGGTGGCCAGGCGAGGTGTGTGGGGCGAGTGGGACAAGTCCCCCCCCTCAACCCTTCCCCCCCCCCCTCACTACCTCGTGTGGTTCGCAATGCAAGCGACACAAGCCTTGTGTTCCCACAGGCCATGTGGGCAGCGCAGCCTGGATTAATTGCTTTGGGGGTGACATTTCTCTGTGGACCACCCAAATTTTCTTGCGGACCGCCAGTGGTCCCTGGCCCCCTGGTTGGCGACCACTGGACTAAATGACCTCCAAGGTCCCTTCCAATTCTGTTACTCTATACTATTCTGCCTCCATTGTGCCAAGTAGGCTCCATCATGTAAAGCTCAATTCTGATTTTGCAAACTCATCCGGGGAGATTCTCCCATGCAACTACTAACAGGATCCACTTCCGGTTAGTTACTTCAAGACTAGGCAAAGTCTTCCTATCTTCACTCATGATTCCCGTGTGCAACCTAACAATCTGGTTCAGAGCTCCCAATATCCCCATAACAACACCTGATTAATTTGAGTACTATATCCCTGACACTGACGTTAATTTTCCCGCTTGGAGGTTTGCTTCCCCCTTGACAATCTAATCTTACAGGTAGTCCTCAATTTGCAATCGTTTGTTTAGTATTCCAAGCTATAACAGCACTGAAAAAGGTGATTTATGACTTTTTCACACCGACAACGGTTTCGGCATCTCCCCTGTTCAGCGTGATCAAAACTTGGGACACTTGACAACTGGCTCACGTTTACGACGGTTGCGGTCTCCCGGGGTCATGTGATCGTCTTTTCTGACAAGCAAAGTCCATGGGGACGTCAGGTTCGCTTAACAAATGCAGCAAGAAAAAGTCATAAAATGGGGCAAAAGAAACTCCTCACTTCGTAATGTACATTTTAGGGCTCTACTGCAGTCATACCTTGAGCCGCCCTACAGATAGTCCTCAACTTACAACCGTTTGCTTAACGACGGTTCAAAATTTCAGGGCCATTGAAAAAAGCGATTTAATTACGATTAATCGCTTTGTGCTTACAATTGTCGCAGCATCCCTACACGCATGTGATCACAATTTGGGTATTTTGGCAACCCGCATGGATTTTACCACGGTTGCAGCATCTCAAGGTCGTGTGATTGCCATTTGTGACTTTCCCCCACTGGCTTCCAGCAAGCAAACTCAGCAGGAAGGCCAGATTCATTTAACAAACAAGTGGTTCACTTAAGAACTGCAATGATTCGCTGAACCTGGGTGTGATGACCCGGGGCGTGGCACAAAGGCAACACAGTCAGATAATCAGTAAGAGTCCCTTTATTAGCTCCAACTTTGCCCCCAATGTCCTAGTTACCTTCTGGGCTGGAGAAAAACTCTCCTAGGAACAGCCGTTGGCTGCAGAGAATCAAGTCCAAAACATGGTCAACAAAAACTGTAACTATAAGTCCAGTCAAGGCAAGATGAGGTAATTAGTTTGGCAGGGCAGGAGCAAGAACTCCAGATGTGAAGGCAAGGCAATAACTCCACACAGCTGGGAAGACGGCCAGGAACACAGATAACCAAAGTCAACAAAAGATAAAGTCGCGTTTGCTCTCAACAGCTGCCGCATTCAGCATGCATCTCTTTTAAACTCTCTTCCCAGCTGTGGCTAATGAAGGGAATCGGGGCCCTTTCCTGGTTGCTCTTCTCTGCACTTTTTCTAGAGTCTCAACATGCCCAGTCCTTGCAACCGTTCTTCACGGGCAAAATTACAGATTAATGTTTGATAACACTAAAAAGTTCTCAAATTGTGGTTCCAGTGTGTGTCTATGCATATACAAGCAATTTTTTTTTTAAGGCCAATCCGATTTTCTCCAGCAAAGCCGGAATGCTGTCAATACGGGCTCACAATTTGGTGAGCAGGCGATTAATGTTATTTATTGGGGGAACATGCACATTCATTATCCTTTTAGGGTTTGCAGTCTTATACAATCTTCCAGGGTCAAACCCCAAACTTTTAATATTTTTTTTCTCAGAGCGATTAACAGGCAGTCTTTGGCTTATGACCCACAATTGAGTCCAAAATTTATGTTGCTAAGTGAGACATTCATTGAGTATTGCCCCCTTTTATGACTTTGTTAAGTACATTACCGCAGTGGTTAATAACGCAGTCATTGAGTAAATCTAGCTTCCCTGTTGACTTTGCTCATTGGAAGCTCTCAGGGGATCACTCACTTACACACACACACACACACACAAACACACACACACACACAAACCGGAACACGGCAACCGTCATAAATATGAGCCGGTTGCCAAGTGTCTGAATTTTGATCACGTAACCCATGGGGATGCTGCAACGGTCGTAAGCATGAAAAATGGATCAAAAGTCACTTTTTTTCAGTGCCATTGGAATTTCAAATCGTCACTAAATGAATGGTTGTAAACCAAGAAGATAGGCTCAAGATCCAGATGGATCTTGACAGACTAGAACCCTGGGCCATATTTAACAAAATGAAATTAAATATAGAGAAAAGTAAAGTCCTACACTTAGGCAAGAAAAACCAAAAGTTCACATATAGACTGGGTGAAACCAAGCTCAATAGCAGTAAATGTGACAGGGATCTTGGAGTCTTTAATGGACAACCAGCTAAATAGGAGCCAGCAGTGTGCAGCAGCAGCAGCCAAAAAGGCTAATGCAATCCTAAATTGCATTAACAGATTGAGATCAAGTGAGGTACTAATATCGCTCTATAAAGCCTTAGTAAGGCCACACCTAGAGTACTGCATTCAGTTTTGGTCACCACATTATAAAAAAGATGTTGAGACTCTAAAAAAAGTGCAGAGAAGAGCAACCAGGATGATGAGGGGACTGGAGACTAAAACATATGAAGAACGGTTACAGGAACTGGGCCTGGCCAGTCTAGTGAAGAGAAGGACCAGGGGAGACAGGATAGCAATCTTCTAAGATTTGAGGGGCTGCCACGGAGAGGAAAGGGTCAAGCTGTTTTGTAAAGTACCTGCAGGCCAGACAAGGAATAATGGCTGGAAACTGAACAAGGAGAGATTTAACCTGGAAATAAGGAGAAACTTTCTGACAGTGAGAAAAATCAACCAATGGAACAGCTTGCCCTCAGAAGTCTCACTTGAGACTTTCAAGAAGAGATTGGACTGTCATCTGTCAGAAATGGTGTAGGAGGTTGGACTAGATGACCTACAAGGTCCCTTCCAACTCTGATTATCTGTTTAATCTGATTATCTGTTTTAAGCCGAGGATTGTCTGTAATTTTTTTTTTTTTAAATCTGTGTGCAGAATGGAATTAGGAGTTCTGTAAAAGCTTGTTTAATATTGCGGTCCCTTTTTTCCATTCATTCCTGATTCCTTTCTTCGTCTTTTTCCAGCTCCTCAGCAGAGACGGACTATCTGACTAAACTACAGTTAATGGCATAACCAGGAAAGCCTTGAGAGAGTGCCTGCCACTTACCAAGCAACCTTACATGAGAACCTGTTCAGGAATTGACCATCTCAGCCAGATGTTTGATCCAGCTGAGGACCGGGAAGCCTCCTAAGGAAACGGGCTGGCTGGTCACGGATGAGGCCCATCCAGATTTGGGACAAAATGGCTGCCAAGGAGGGGACCCAGTCAAGCTTCGGCCTCCGGTTTCATGCCGAGCTGGAGCAAGGGACGCACCAGCGGATTAAGATGGAGGAAGAAGAGCCGCCGGGTTCCTCGTCCGGAGAAGGCTCGGAGGAAGTTCCTCACCTCCTTCAGCCTGGAAGCTTTCGGGAGTTCTTGCAAAGGCCACCGGGAGACCAGGAAGCCGGAGATGGTCTCCTCCAGCGCTGGGAGGCCCAGTGGCAGGAGTTTCTGCAGAAACTGGAGTACCCTCACTCAGAATGGGAGGCGCCCCAATTGCTGGAGGAGCCCACTCCCTGGGATAACACCAAGGCCTTCCTGGCGTCTTTCGAACAAGTGGCCCAGGCCTGTCAGTGGCCTAGAGAAGACTGGATGGCCAGACTCTTGCCTGCCCTGAGTGGGGAAGCAGAGCAGATCTTTAGCAACCTGGACACTAGAGACCGGGTGGACTATGACAAGGTGAAAGCAGCAATCTTGAGGGGGGACGCCATTTCCAGGGAGCGCCAGCGGCAGAATTTCCGCCGCTTCTGCTACCAGGAGGCCGAAGGCCCGAGGGGCGTCTACAGCCAGCTCCAGAAACTCTGTCATCGGTGGCTGAAAGTGGAGAGACACTCCAAGGAGCAGATTTTGGAGCTACTGATCCTGGAACAGTTCCTGGCCATCCTGCCCCCAGAGATGCAAAGCTGGGTCCGGGAACATGGTCCCGAGACCTGCTCCCAGGCGGTTTCCCTGGCCGAGGATTTCCTGCAAAGGCAACCGGCTGAGGCGAGTTGGGAAGAAGAGGTGAGCCTTGGAGTGCCCGGGGCCTTCATTGCAGCAGGGTGCTGTGGCTCAGTTCACACAATAGGCTCGTGATGGCGAACCTATGGCACGCAGAGCCATTTGTGCAGGCACATAAGCCCCAGCCAAACTGACCTGCATAGTGCATGTGCGCGCCTCCCAGCTTCCCTCGAGTCTCCTGGAGGGCGAAAACGGTCTCCACTGGGCTCCAGAGGCCCTCCGGAGGCTGAAAACGGACACTTCCAGTATTTCTGGAAGTCCCATTTTTCGGCCTCCCAGGGATGCAGAGGCTTCCCTCAAGCCTCCAGGTAGATGAAAAAGGCCTTCCCTGGCTCCAGAGGCTGAAAACAGGCACTTCCAGTATTTCCAAAAGGCCTGTTTTTCGGCCTCCCGAGGATGCAGAGGCTTCCCTCAAGCCTCCAGGAGGGCGAAAACGGCCTCTCCCGGTCTCCACAGGCCCTCCAGAGGCTGAAAATGGACACTTCTAATCTTTCCGGAAGGCCCATTTTTCGGCCTCCCGGGGATGCAGAAGCTTCCCTCAAGCCTCCGGGTGGATGAAAAAGGCCTCTCCTGGGCTCCAGAGGCCCTCTGGAGGCTGAAAACGGACACTTCCAGTATTTCCGGCAGGCCCGTTTTTCGGCCTCCCGAGGATGCAGAGGCTTCCCTCAAGCCTCTGGGAGGGCGAAAACGGCCTCTCCTGGGCTCCAGAGGCCCTCTGGAGGCTGAAAACGGACACTTCCAGTATTTCCGGAATGCCCATTTTTCAGCCTGCAGAGGCTTCCCTTGAGCCTCCGGGAAGGCAAAAATGGCATCAAACAGGCCAAAAATTAGCTGGGAGACACGCACATGTACTGTGCAGGTAAGGGGGCGGGGTGGGGGCCTAGCGCACGTGTGTGCAGGAAGGGGCGGAACGTATTGTATTGTGGGAGCCGGCACACACGCGCACTAGTGCACATGCCTGCGCTTTCGGCATACAACAAAAAGGTTTGCCATTATTGCAATAGGCTGAGTCCCAAATCTGGATTAACTGTCCAGTTCCTTAATGTACGATGGTGTGTGAAGGCTGAGGTTTTGCAGCTTGCTGAAATACAACCCTGTTTTGCAGGAGCTCTCAAATGCTATGAGAACGCAACCCCCTAAAATGATAAATTAATGTTGTGACCCCATTTTCCCCTCATCCAGGAAAAATGAACGGATTTGCGGGAGGTGGGGAGCAGAGGTTATGGGTTGGGAAGAATTGAGTGGCACGGCGACCTAGAGGTGGAGCTCTCTCCTCACAATCAGGAGGCGGTGAGTTCGATTGTAGGTAGAGGCAGATATTTCTCTCTCTGGGCACAATGAGAATATATCTGCTGAACAAAACTCCATATTGGTGACAGGAAGGGCATCCGGCCAGTAAACACTCAGCTCCATTCAGTTCCCTAGACTCCACCCTGCAAGGGATTATGGGCTTGTTTAAAAGAAGATGCTGATGATGGGTTTGGAAGAAAAAAAAATATAAGGTTAGTTTAATGATTAAAATTAAAGTACGTATCAAATGTTATGGTGGTCCAGCCGCCCACCACGGACAGGCTGAAGCAAAGAACACGTAGTCCACTTACAACAGTTCATGTTCTGACCCACACCCTTGTCCAACAAATCAAACACCATCCAAAAGGAACAGAAACCTTGTAATGCTTTTACAAAATAATTAGCTGGGATAAGCAGAGGTCTTGCCAAACTGTGCATGATTTGCCAAAAGATAACAGACAAGAAATAATTTGCAAAATAAGAATCTTCAAACACAAACTCAGGATACTGGAATGTCCACGAGGCTGGGGTTTCAAAACGTCTTTGCCTTCTGCAAAGAACGTTCGCTTCACAGCTGGCTTTTATTTTCTTGAAGGAGGGGCCATTACCTTGCAGCCTTACTCCCGAGTCGCCCGTGCTGCTGTAACTGCTCTCTCCTACGAGCAATCCTGCGCTCACGCGTTCTTGGCACAGGCTCCTCGGGAACCTCCTCATCGCTGCTGCCAGCCCCCACAATCTCTGAAGTCAGCAGTCCACTCCCTGATGGTCCTGGCCCCTCATCTGAGTCCTCGCTCTCCTCAGCCATCCACACCTGCTACCAGCTAACCACAACAGTTTGTTTAGTGACCGTTCAAACTTACAGCATAACTGAAAAAAGCGACTTATGACCATTTTTCACACTTGTGAAAATTGAAGCATCCCCAGGGCTGCATGATTCAGATGCTTAGGAACTGACTCATAGTTATGACACTTGTTATGCAGTGTCCCGAGGTCACGTGATCCCCTTTTGCGACCTTCTGACAAGCAAAGTCCATGGGGAAGCCAGATTCACTTAACAACCATGTGACTAATTTTAACAACCGCAGTGATTCACTTAACAACTGTGGCAAGAAAAGTCGTAAAATGGGGCAAAGCTCACTTCACAAATTTCTCATTCAAGCAACATAAATTTTGGGCTCAATTGTGGTCCTATGTGGAGGACTACCTTTCGGATTAAGTTTTGACTCTGCTTCTATTTCATTTATGTAACTTTGATCAGCTCTAAAAGCATGTGTGACATCCTGTTGTAAACTACAAGTAGTCCTCGCTTAACAATGGCAATTGGGATTGGAATGTCCATTCCCTAAGCAATGCAGTCGTAAAACATGACATCACACGGCTGGATCAATGACGGCACTGCTGGTTGCTGTTGTGAAGCGAGGATCTTAAGTTGTTAAAAGAAGGACCCCCTTGGGACTTTCGACTGGCAAAGTCATTGGGGAAGCCATCGGGAAATTGCATGTCCTAAGTAACCCAAGCAGGCCAGCAGGCAGATAAGTGGCTACTGTAGGGTGGAGGAATCTTTGACTGACTTTCCAGAGTGATTCCAACATTCTCTGATGGCTTTGCCATTGACTTTGCTTGTGGGAAGCTGGCAAGGAAGGCTGCAAATGATAATCACCTGATCTGGGTCATTGCAACCATCATAATTGCGAGCGGCTTGCCTAATTCCCGGATTGTAATCTTGTGATACAGGGCTGATGGGACATCCAGAACTTTGAAGGCTGGTTGTGAGTTCCCCTTGCTCAATGCCATTGGAACTTGGAACGGTTCAAAAACAAATGATTGTTAACCAAGGACAGGGGTGTCAAACTCGATTTCATTGAGGGCCACATCAGAGTTGTGTTTGACCTCGCATGCGCTGGCTGAGGAAATTCTTGGAGTTGAAGCAGGGGTGGGATTCTACCAGTTTGCACCTATTTGCTAGAACCAGTTGTTAACATTCTAAGCAGTTCGGAGAACCAGTTGTTAGAAGAAATTACTGGCCTAATCCTGTAAGGAAGGCAGGAAGGAAACATTCTGGTGTTGCTTACAGAAACTGTCTCTCTGTTAACCCTTATTACATTCTTGGCAGGACTAGACTTCCTGTCTCTGGAACTTCTCTGGAGTTTTTTTTTTCCTCCTTTGCTGGTGCTTTGTGTGGAGTGACCATTCAAAGTTACAATGGCACTGAAAAATGTGACTTATGACTGTTTTTCACACAACTGTTGCAGCATCCCCACAGTCACGAGAGGCCAGGCGAGAAGATGCGTGCCTCAATGTGAGTGATGTTGAGTTGGCCACGCCCAGCCAGTCGCATGACCACCAAGCCACATCCACCAACTAAGCCACGTCCACAGAACCTGTTGTTAAAAAATTTGAATCCCACCCCTGAGTTGAAGTCCACAGGTCACAAAGTTGCCAAGGTTGGAGACTCCTGATTTAGGCCCAGTTCGATGGAATTGCTCGTCATAAAATGCATTTGTAGTCCAGCTAAGTCTCGGGTCAAAGGTAGCTGCGGTTCCTCTTCTTTGATGCCCCCACCCACCCAACTTTGGTGCCTGACCAATACCACCATTTTCTTCTCTTCCCAGTAGTGCCTCTCCTTCCAGATCTTTCCTTGAAGTGACGTCTTCCCCTTTCCTTCCAGGAGCTGGGACCCATTGAAGAGATTTCGCTGGACTTCTCTGAGGAAGAAGACTCACCATCGAACGAGGCTGACGGGGATGCTCAGGAGAGAGATGTTGATTCCTTGGGTGAGAATAAACGAATTTAACCTTCCCCTCCTTTTTTTCCCCCCTGTAATAATCCATAAGGGGTCTGCAAGGATACAGATCCTCGATTTATGACCGTAAATGAGCTTGGAATTACCATGATAAGAGGTGCCAGTTGTTAAGCAGGTCAATATGTAACTTATAATATACAGTAGCCCACAAATTATGACCACCATTGAGTCGAAGAATTTGGTTATTAAGCAAGGCAGTTGCTAAGTTAATTTTGTCCCATTTTACGACCTTTCTTGCCACGGTTGTTAAGTGAATCTGGTTTCCCCATGGACTTTTCCCTTTCAGAAGGTCGCAAAAAGGGATCCCGCGACATCAGAACACTGCAACCATTGTAAATATGAGTCAGTTGTCAAGTTTTGATCATGTGACCATGGGGGAATTCTGCAACGGTTATAGGTGTGAAAAACGGTCATAAGTCCCTTTGTTCATGCCTTCGTAACTTTGAACGGTCAGTAAATGAACTGTTGTACGTTGAGGACTACCTTTAGTTAGAGTGGTGGACTAGCATAATGTAGCAGGCAGACTAGTCAATCTAATTTAAAATTTGGTCCTAGACCAGGGGTGTCATCGGCCCACGTGCCTCTGCCAGCAAAAACGGAGCTTGAAGGAAGGAAGGAAGGAAGGAAGGAAGCAAGCGGTGCCTCTGCCAACAAAAATGGAGCTGGAAGGAAGGAAGGAAGGAAGGAAGGAAGGAAGGAAGGAAGGAAGGAAGCAGTGCCGCTGCCAGCAAAAACGGAGCTCGAAGGAAGGAAGGAAGGAAGGAAGGAAGGAAGGAAGCGGTGCCGCTGCCAGCAAAAACGGAGCTCGCACACGGTCTCCTCAGGCTCCATTTTCGCTGGCAGAGGCCTAGCAGAACAAACGAAAAACCAAACAAAAGGAGAAATGTTTCTCCCCTTTTGCATTTGAACTTTGAAGAAGGGGCAGGAAAGGAGAAAGGGAAAGAGGGAAGACAAAGAAAAAAAATGGGAAGATGGGAAGAGAACGAGGAAGGAAAAATAAGGGAAGAGGGAAGGAAGAAGAAAGGAGAAGGAAAAGGGAAGGAAAAAAAGAAAAGGAAGGGAAGAGAAGAGAAGAGAAGGGAGGATGGGAGGGAGGGAGATTATAAATGAGAGTGAGGAAGGGTCTGAGAGAAATCCTACCTTAGCACTTGGTCACCACAGGTGCCCCCCTCCCAACATGAGTGACGTCGAGCTGGCCGACATCCCCCCCGCTGCCAAGGTCAAACACAAACCTGATGCGGCCCTCAATGAAATCGAATTGACAGCCCTGTCGTAGAGAAAGTTAACCTGGTGTTGCAGCCTGCTGAGCCACCTATCCAGCTGCTGGAACAGTATTGCACAGTAGTTAGAGTGGTAGACCCGAATGTGGGAAATCCAGATTCAATTCCCTGCTCAGTGCAAAGCTCCTTGAAAGACTCTGAACCAGAGAGCTGTCAATTAGGTAACAGGAGTAGAGGAAAGAACCATATACTCTTATCTGGAGCGATTGCAATGAGTCCTTGATTTATGACCACTGGGCAATTGGCATCCGTTTTCGACAGTTGCAGTGTTCTGGGGTCATGTGCTCCCCCATTTATTTATTTTTTACCTTCTCAGCTGGCTTCCAACAACAACAAGCACAATCATTGAGAGATGTTGGGTTTCTTTAATGATCCTATAGTTCACTTAACAACTGCAGTATCTGCTTAACAACAATGGCAAAAAAAGGTCATAAAATCTCTCCTCCCTTAACAGCCACCTTGTTTGGCAAGAAACATTCTGGCCATAAGTCGACCTATACATTTTATTAGACAGATTTTGGATTAGGTAAGTAGGTAGACAGATAGATTCCCCGTTTCTCCAAAAATAGGACCTACCCTGAAAGTAAGTCCTAGCTTGATTTTTATATGTGCACCCCCCCCCCCAAATAAGCCCTAATTAAAATCTCACCCACTCCAGAGAGGACAGGTAAAAATTAAGCTACGGTGGGGATGGGGGGGTAGAGCTGCCCTACTACTTACCTTCGGACAGTTGTAGCCAGGCCTCACACACCCCGACACCTGCCTTGCCAGCCCATTTCTTCTGCAGCCAGCAAGGCTGGCAAGGCTTTCCTGAAGGCTTCTGTATCTAATAATAAAGCTCTGGATCGATCCGGAGCTTTGTCATTGGCTGCAGAGACCTTCAGGGAAGCCTTGATGGGTGCACAAGAAATTCCTGAAGGCCTCAGATAGAGAAAAGGAGGCCGGGGGGGGTGACGCGCACAAGTGAGATTAGTCGGTTGGTGACATCCCCCGAAAATAAGACCTGGTGCTTTTTTTTTGGTAGCAAAAAAAATATAAGACAGGGTCTTATTTTTGGGAAAACACAGTAGATAGAGATAATTAGAGGATGGATGGATGTAGATATATAGATATGATAGTTATAGATATAGATAAATAGATGAATAGATGATGGATGGATGGATGGATAGAGAGATAGAGCGAGAAAGAGAGAGAGAGAGGGAAGATAGATAGAGATAGATAGATAAATAGATATAAATAGATAAATATATGATGGATAGAGAATGAATAGATGGATAGATAGATATAGATGGATGGATGGATAGAGAGAGAGATACAGAGATAGAGATGATAGATTGATAGATGACTGATAGATGATAGATAGCTAGATTGATTAGATCGATTGGTAGATCGATCGATTGATAGATAGATGATAGATAGATGGATAGATCGATTGGTAGATCGATTGGCAGATCAATTGATAGATGATGGATAAATGATAGATAGATGACAGAGAGAGAGAAGATAGATAGAGATAGATAGATAAATAGATATAAATAGATAGATATATGATGGATAGAGAATGGATGGATGGATAGATAGATATGGATGGATAGAGAGAGATACAGAGATAGAGATGATAGATTGATAGATGACTGATAGGTGATAGATAGCTAGATTGATTAGATTGATTGGTAGATAGATCGATCGATCGATAGATGATAGATAGATGGATAGATTGATTGATTGGCAGATCGATTGATAGATGATAGATAGATAGATGACAGAGAGAGAGACAGAGAAGGAGCCATGCTGGATGGCTGGTTTCGCCTAACGCCATTCCTCTTTTTATTTTTTATTTTTAATACAAACGCCTTATTGAATATTTCCTCTTGGATTTTGTGGGTGCAGGATGGTCGTGCATGAATGAGAAGATGGCCCATGCCGAAAGTTTCGACCAAGTTTTCAACAGGAGCCTGAAACGGGGGAGACTGGACAACAAAGTCTCCCACTTCGGGGAGGAGGAGGAGGAGGAGGAGGAAGACGTCCTGCAGGGGTGGTACCGAGCCGAGAGGAAGAAAGCAAGTGGCCTGCAAGGGGACAGAGAGGAATCTGGCTCCCCCCTGTGGGAGGGCGAGGAACTGCTGGACGGTCCCAGGGATGATGAGCAATTCCACGAAGGAAAAGACGCCTACCTGGCGGGTGGCTGGAGCTTTAGGCCGAGAGCTGATCTGATTAAACACGAGAAAAACGATCTTTACAAATTCTCGGACGGCGGCAGGAGCTTCAAAGCGATTTCCCCCTGCCTTTCCAGCAACGACAACGACGAGGAGAAGAAGCCGCACCAGTGCCCCGAGTGTGGCAAGTCCTTCATTGCCAAAGCCCACCTGATCATCCATCAGCGGATCCACACCGGAGAGAGGCCCTTTAAATGCCTGTCCTGTGGGAAGACCTTCACCCAGCGCTCCAACCTCACCGTCCATCAGCGCATCCACACAGGCGTGAAACCCTTCCAGTGCTCGGACTGCGGGAAAAGTTTCTGCTCCAGCACCAACCTCAGCAAACACCAGGCTGTCCATGTGAAAGGGGCCCCGTACAAATGCTTAGCCTGCGGGAAAAGCTTCAAGATCCATGCCCATTTTATCGCCCACAAAAGGATCCACGCCAGGCGGAAGCTTCACTCCTGTCCGGACTGTGGGAAATCTTTCCTTGCCGCGTTACACCTCATCATCCACCAGCGGATTCATACCGGAGAGAAACCCTATAAATGCGTGGAGTGCGGGAAAACCTTTAGCCAGAACGCTCACCTCAAAGTGCACCAGAAAATCCATAAGAAAGGCAAGCAATTTCAGTGCGCCGACTGTAGCGAAAGCTTCCACTCCAGGTTGAACCTCAGCCAGCACCAAACCCTCCACGCCGCCGAGAACCCTTATAAGTGCACCGAATGCGAGAAGTCCTTCCGCCTCAATTCCCACCTGATGGCGCACAAGCGGAATCACGCTGCCAAAAAACCGCACAAGTGCTCCTACTGCGGGAAAGCTTTCTTTACCAAATCCTACTTCATCATCCACCAGAGGATCCACACCGGGGAGAGGCCGTTCAAGTGCTTGACGTGCGGGAAATGCTTCAGCCAAAGCTCCCACCTGAACGTCCACAAGCGCACCCACACCGGGGTGAAGCCCTTCCCGTGTTCTCACTGCGGGCAGAGTTTCAGCTCCAGCACCAACCTGCTTAAGCACCAGAGAATCCACACGGGAGAAAACCTGTATATTTGCTCGGACTGTGGCAAGAGCTTCAAGGTGCATTCCCACTTGATTGCTCACAAGCGCATGCATGTGGCCAAGAAGCCGCACAAGTGCTCCTACTGTGGGAAGTCTTTCTTTGCCAAGTCCTACCTCATCATCCACCAGAGGATCCACACCGGGGAGAGGCCCTACAAATGCTTGGCTTGCGGCAAGAGCTTCACGCAGAGCTCCAACCTGACGGTGCACGAGCGCACCCACGCGGGCAAGAACCCGTTCCAGTGCTCGGACTGCGGGAAGAGCTTCAAAGTGAGCTCGCACCTGCTCGCCCACAAGAAAATCCACGAAACCAAGAAGCCGCACAAGTGCTCCTACTGCCACAAGTCCTTTGTTTTCAAGTCCTACCTGATCATCCACGAGCGGATGCACACGGGCGAGCGGCCGTTCAAGTGCCTGGCCTGCGGGAAGAGCTTCAGCCAGAGTTCCCACCTCAACGTCCACAAAAGGACCCACTTGGGGAAGAAGCCGTACCAGTGTTCCGAATGCGGGAAAAGTTTCCGCGTGAGTTCCCAGCTCCTAGCCCACAAAACCATTCACACGGCCAAAAAGGCCTACGCCAACCCGACCGCCAACAGCAACAGCAACAGCAGCAGCAGCAGCAGCAACGACGGGAATAGCAATAAATGCCTGGATTGCGGGAAAACCTTTATCTCCAAGTCCTACCTGATCGTCCATCAGAGGATCCACACCGGCGAGAGACCCTACAAATGCCTGGTGTGCGGGAAGTGCTTCAGCCAGAGCTCGCACCTGACGGTCCATCAGAAGACCCACCGCCGCGTGAAGATGTTCCCGTGCTCCGACTGCGAGGAGAGCTTCAACTCCCACATGAAGCTGCTGAAGCACCAGAGGATGCACATGAAAGGGAACCCCTTCCAGTGCCTGGATTGCGGGAAATCGTTCGTCACCAAATCGCAACTCATCATCCACCAGAGGAGCCACACGGGGGAGAGGCCGTACAAGTGCTTGGACTGCGGGAAAGGGTTCAGCCAGAGCTCCAACCTGATCCGCCACCAGCGGATTCACTCGGGGGAGAACCCTTATAAATGTTCAGACTGTGGGAAAAGCTTCTGCTCGCACGAGAATCTGATTAAACACCAGAGAATCCACACCTAAAAACCCTGAACGATCTGTTGATTAAAAAAAAGGTTACGGGCCAGTGTTTCTCACCCTTGGGGACTTTAAGATGCATGGACTTCAACTCCCAGAATTCCCCATTCTCCCAGAAAATTCTGGGAGTTGAAGTCCACACATCTTAAAGTCCTCAAGGTTGAGAAACACTATGATGAATCATTAGCCAAGTGGCTACCAAGAAGGCGCTACAGTGAGAAAATGCCGTTTTGCTGTCACAACGTGACCGTTTGCTGCTCGTCAGAGTATCGAGATGTATCACATCAAGGCGGAGAAAGCCCTCTCAGGGGGAGTTTCTCCCATGTATTGGGAAGCCTTTGCTCCGAATTTGAACTCAGTGCTGCTTCTAAACCGAGGAGCTAAGAGGGTCAGTGAGTCTGGGTCTGCATCCATCAGCCAGCTTCAGAGCGATTCTTAAAGGCCACCAGAACAAGCTCTTTTCTGGCAAAAGCTTCCAGTTCATGTCCGTTAAGTAGTCCCTGCAGATGCGTTTCTTTCAGTTGGACTTAATCTCCCATCTTTTCTTCAGGCCTACAAAGGGATCCCTTTTTTTAATCTTATCTGCCCAAATGACGGACGCTGCCAGGAAGGTTCAGCTGAGAGAGAGAGAAAGAGAGAGAATGAATGTCCAGGTCCCTCAAGGGCCTCCCAAGTTTATAGGATGGACCTGAAGATGGGTCTCCATCGTCCTGCTCTGATCGTCTGCGATGACCAGCCTTGCGCTGATATCTTGGACTCTCTTCTGCTAGCTGGAAAGGTCCATGAATGTTTGTTTACCTTAAAGAAAGGCAACCCAGCGCTCTCCATATGGATTAACACGGTCTCCATACGTACAAAAATTGTGGGTAGTAGTTTAAAGCGTGTCAAAGATGGGGGAGGGTTGGAGCCGAGCCTTGATTTCTTCGGAGTAGCATCACTCTCTCGATCAGGGGTGTCAAATTCAATTTGATTGAGGGCTGCATCAGGGTTGGGTTTGATCTTGGATAGGGGAGGGGTGGGATGGGTGTGGTTAGGGTGGCGTGGCCAGCTCGACATTAACTCGTGTCGGGGAGGCACCTGTGGTGGCTAAGTGCTAAGACAGGACTTCCCTCAGACCCTCCCTCACTCTTAATCTTCCTTCCTTCCTTCCCTTTCCTTCCTTTCTTTCTTCCCTTCCCTCCTTTCCTTTCCTTCCTTCCCTCCTTTCTTCCTTCCCTTCCTTACTTCTCTTCCTTCTTTCTTTCCTTCCATTCCTTCCTTTCTTCCTTCCCTTTCCTTCCTTTCCTTTTCTCCCTCCCTTCCTTTCCTTCCTTCCCTCCTTTCCTTCCCTCCTTCCTTCCCTTCCCTCCCTCCCTTCCTTTCCTTCCCTTTTTTCCTTTCTTCCTTCCCTTCTTTCCTTCCTTCCCTTCCTTCCTTCCTTCCCTCCTTTTTTTCCCTTCTTCCTTCCTTCCCTCCCTCCCTTTCCTTCCCTTTTTTCCTTTCTTCCTTCCCTTCCTTCTTTCCTTCCTTCCCTTCGCTTCCTCTCCTTCCTTCCCTTTCCTCCCTCCCTTCCTTTCCTTCCTTCCCTCCTTTCCTTCCTTCTTCTTTTTCCTTCCCTCTTCATTCTTCTTCCTCTCTTTCCTTCTTTTTCCTTCCTTGCTCTCTTCCCATTTTCCTTCTTTCTGTTTCTCTTTCCTCTTTCCCTTTCTCCTTTCCTGTCCCTTCTTGCATGCTCAAATGCAAAAGGGGAAACATTTTCCTTTGGCTTGTTTTGTTTTGCTAGCTCTCTGCCAGTGAAAATGGAGCTCGGAGGCCATACGATCCTCCCCAAACTCCGTTTTCATTGGCAGAGGCACCGCAGGCTGGTCCTTTGCTCTTTCCAGGGCGTGGTTCTTGAGTTTGACCCCCTTGGTCTAGATCTGAGGTTGACCACGTCTTTCCAGTCACCTTATCTGCTGCCTTTTGTTTTGTTTTGCTTTTTTAAAAAGGGATTCAGTTTGAGTCATCTTCATGGAGACATTCCTGTCCCGCGCTCTGAGTGAATTCTTTTTTCACAATCTTGAAAAAATGGAAAGACTGCCCAAGCCTGGGACTTCCCTAAGCTCCTATAAAAAGGGGAAAATGGAAGTAGTAGGATCAGGCCAGGAGAAAAGCCACAAAAATACTTCGTTGGCGAGACTCGGTGGATTTTCAGGTGTTTTTGGTCAGGCATCTTAGAATCGGTGCAGAAGACGTTGAGACAAGAGATGTATTGAGCGAAAATGTCCTTCCTCCTTTACCAATGGGGAAAGAGGCCTTCCATTTGGGAAGTGGCACCACTACTAAGCCTTTTTTGGTCCTTTCCAGGATATTAAAAAAAACTGTTTTTAACATGGAAAGGTAGACCATGTCTTGGTAAGGATAACGCTCTTCCAACTGTCCACCAGGCAACAACCAAAGAGAAAAGAACCATGGTCTTCGTAGGCAGCAAAATATGAATAATGGGGGGAGGGAGGGAATTGATAAAAAAGAAAGGGAACATTAAGAGTAGGGATTCTGGCAACGCTCATGATATTGACATGCCTTTGGAGTAGATGTTTGAAGTGGAAACGACCAATCCATTTAAGAACAAAATGGACACCGGAAGGAAGCGACTTTAAGAACAAAATGGACAC